CGAGTCAGTCTGACGGTCTTCCCTCTGGTGGCTCTGGCTCTGCACCCTCAGAATATTCCGTCGATGATGCCGTGACTCCCCCTTCTGGTTCTGACGGCAGGACTCCCACACCGCTTGCGAGTAGTGTCACTGGGGCTCGACGCGTTGCATCACCAGTGTCTGACATATCTCGGACACCGACACCTACTGCAGCAGATGGCCGACACAGCCGCACCCGATCTACTACCCCGTCATCAAAGCAAGGAACAAATGCTCCTCGCCCTATTCGTCAATCGTCGATCGCTTCTGTCATGTCAGAAGTATCGACGTATGCTACCCCCACTGGACAGCTCATCAGCCCCCCTGAAACGCCGCGTATCAACACCACCCCCAAACCGCAAATTCCCAAGCGACCGTACATTCCCAAAGATGACTTCGGTCTCTCGCATATGATGGCGATCATTGAAATTGCTAGTGCAGCACCCAGGGTGCCTCAAACCTCTGTACACCCAGTGGACGAGTCACTGTTTGGAAAACCAATAGATATGACGACTCTACACCCAGATATTCAAGAGATATACGCGGGTGCTTTCCAACAACTTGATGAGATGGATAAGGTAAGAGATGTGTTGCTGATCGAACAAAATGTTTCGTGCTGATACACTTGGATAGACATTAGATGAATACCTTCAATACGTCATTAGCGCTCGTTAATTATTGATGCAATTTGTTAGCTTTTGGTGTATATATTTGCGATTTAATATTTATGATTTCATTGCAGCTGCATGTATTAACTTAGTCTTCTAGCAGGTCGAATGACGGGAACATGAGCGGAATAGCAACCAAAAAAAACTTGTAGACTGATATTTCGGGGCTCGTCTTTATCAGTGAATACCGCACATCGTACGTGCATCAACCTATAGATCGTAACAAAGTCCGGGTGCCTCCCTAAGATATTACTAACTGCAAAAGCTCTTCGTCGTCTATGTATAACGGACTGCATTTGATGTCTCTGTTCGAGATGCAGACGGGATCCTTGCAATATTGACGGTGTTCCGGACTCCCAAATTTACTGGGAGGCTCAAACATGCGGAACGTGTCAAGATCATTCAATATGTTTGCCCGCGATAGAGCCCCGAATGATCCAAGCACGCGTCAGTGGTCTTACACCACTAAGAGACTCTGCAGTTCATGGTTACATGCAGAAAAGAGGATTATATAGATGACCACGAACTCTGTATCATTCACCCATGACGACATCTACTTCATTCATGTCTATCCCGCTGGCGGACGCAGATGACGTAAAAATATCTGCCCCAGCTGCGAGCGAATCAATAAGCAGTGCTAGCTTGGAGGGTCCCAAAGTTGGCTCCTGCAAAAGTCATTCATGAGGATCGACTCATGTCTGGAATAATCATCTGCTAACCTTCCGTATTTCCTCAAGGTCTTCCTTGAATCCTTCTGCAAGGGATGACATCCAGAACTTCCTGAATTTATCTTTCATGGCTTTCTCACGCGCCTCGTAATCCGCAGACGGATTTGGCGGTAGAAAAGGTGGTATTTCAGCACTGGGCAGGGAGGGTGAAGGTGACCTTTGTCGAGGGATGTCTTTTTGTTTAGGAACTTTCAGACCGTCGGTCTGCATTTGTTCTTTTATCATGAATGTACGAGCGTCATCATCATCTGATTCGGAGTCGCTATCTGAGGATGTAGATTCAGACGACGAACTCGTGTCGGATTCAGGTTGTTTGGTTGGGAGAGGTGCCGGCTTTTGCGGTATAGATTGCGTGGATTCATCCGAAGATGAATCATCAGACGAAGAGGAAGAACCGGAAGATACGGCGCGTCTTTTACGTTTCCTGTTCCTCCTGCGAGCAGCAGGCTTTGGTGCTGGCGGGCCCATCTGTCGAACTTGAGAAGGATCAATAAATTTCAGCGTACTACTTACAAAGATGTGATTACATAATACTGATCATATCTTTGCAGATCTTTCACTTCTTCACGCGCACGATCTACGCGAAATCGACTTTAAACACGATGAGTGGCAAGGTTGTCGGGGTTCTTGGTGCGCGTGAGCTCACAGCGTTGAATTCTCTCGATTTAAGCGCTCATGATATCTACCAGGCTATGTCTCTAGTTTTTTATCGTCTCCTCTGACTTGCTTGTTCTAGGCGGAGGTCAGCTCGGGCGAATGTTAGCCGCTTCGGCGGCCCTGCTCAACGTCGATATAGTATTCCTTGACGTTGGAGAAAATAGTCCAGCAAAGCAGATTGTGTCCCCGCGATCTCCCCTTCTTGCTCACATCGATGGATCTTTCGTAGACCCAGAAAAAATCAAGGCACTGGCCAGCAAGGTCGACATCCTAACTGTTGAGATTGAGCACGTCGATACGAACATACTTGAAGAGATTCAGTCAGTGCCCGGAGCTGTCATTCATCCCAGTCCGTCTACGGTGAAGACTATCCAAGACAAATTGATACAGAAACAGCACCTCCAGAGTCACCAATGTCCCGTGTCAGAGTTTCTCTGTGTCGAGTCCAATGTCACATCAATACATGAAACTGCGGAAAAAATTGGCTTGCCATTCATGCTCAAAAGTCGCACGTTGGCGTATGATGGGCGGGGAAATTTTGTTGTTCGGAATATTGCTCAAGCGGAAGAAGCTATCTCTGCCCTCGGGAATCGTCCCTTGTATGCCGAGAAGTGGGTGCCATTCGTGAAGGAGATCGCTGTCATGGTAGTGCGCTCCACGACAGGGGAGGTTCGCTCATATCCCGCTGTGGAGACCGTTCACAAAGACAATATTTGTCATTTGGTGTTTGCCCCCTTGCGGAGTCGCGATCCACATATTGCTATTCGCGCACAGAGCGTAGCCGAAGCCGCAGTCAAGACCTTCCAGGGCGCTGGTGTCTTTGGAGTCGAAATGTTTCTCATGGAAGACGGTAGAAGATAGTTTCTCTTGGATTGTGCGAACCAGTCTAACCTACCAATTCTGTCAGGCTCTATCTATATCAACGAAATTGCCCCTCGGCCACATAATTCTGGACATTATACCATAGAGGCTTGCGAAACCTCCCAGTACGAAAATCATCTGCGCGCCATACTGTCACTCCCGCTTGGTTCCACGTCACTAAAAGTGTCTTCAGCTGCAATGCTGAATATCATTGGCGCTTCATCCAACATGGCAGAAGTCACGAATTTCGCATCTGAGTGTATCAAGACAGATGGTTGTGCGGTCCATCTGTACGGCAAATCGGAGTGTCGCAAAGGACGTAAAATGGGACACGTCACCGTCGTGGGCAACTCAGATTCAGAGGTCCGCTCTCGCCTGCGACCACTGTTAAAGGCATTACCATCAGGGAGTACTGAACAAGAACTCGCTCTATACGTCCCAGAGACCCCCGCACAAGGCAGCGGCTTTTCCCACAAATACCCGCTCGTTGGTGTGATCATGGGCTCCGATTCCGACCTTCCTGTAATGTTGCCGGCTGCTCGTATCCTGGATCGGTTCAAGATTCCCTATGAACTCACCATCGTCTCTGCACATCGCACACCAGATCGCCTCGTCGAATACGCAAGGTCAGCGAGCTCAAGGGGTTTGAGGACGATCATTGCTGGAGCAGGTGGTGCAGCACATCTTCCTGGCATGGTTGCTGCCATGACCGCGCTTCCTGTCATTGGAGTTCCTGTGAAAGGAAGCTCTCTTGATGGTGTTGATTCGTTGCATAGTATCGTGCAAATGCCAGTAAGGGTCTTTGAGTCTTTATGTGATTCGTTGACGTCTGAGTGTCACCACAGCGAGGTATACCTGTAGCGACGGTTGCAATTAACGGCGGTATGAATGCTGGATTGCTAGCTGTGCGGATTCTCGGGGCTGGTATACCTCATCTGTTTGCAGACATTGATGTGTATCTAAGAGGATTAGAGAGCGAGGTTGTCGCAAAGGTTGAGAAGCTGAAAGAAGTTGGCTGGGAAAAGTACGAGGTGAAGCGATGATGGTGAAGATCTGCACTCCCGTTTCGGAAGATGTTGTTGGTTCTGCAGTACGTTATGCATGCATGCGCTGCACTATCATTGAAGGAAATTACTAATTAAAGATTGTGACTTTACTATGTGCCTCGAACGTCTAGTCTCCCTCTTTTTGAGGTTCACTCAGACGTGTTCTGAAGGAAAGGATGGTTTGTTATATGGTAATCTAACGAGGGACAGGGCAATAAATGAGTTCTAAATGAATTACTTTCTGAGATGATCAACGAGAGTTTTCGGGCGAGGACGCGCAGCGTCTTCCGGCCCCGAGGGACTAACCTGAAAGAGAGAGGTGAGCTGCTAGGGAGGGTGGGATTCCTCGCTGCGATTGATGTTTCAGGTGTCCTCCGGGTCCTGCTGTGGACTTTTGAGGAGAGCGAGGATCTTGAATCGTGAACGATGAAAGAAAAGGAAGAGGAGGGAGGGGAAATAAAACGAGAACGACGAGAAAAGTTCTGAGTGCTAACGGTCGTTGTAGCACGGAGACAAGAGGCGCCGTGCCACGTTAGCCGTTCGCTCGAAGACACAGCTCTATTCCTCCGCTCGTGCCTCGTTACATAATAGACTAACAAACAGCGCATGTCGATTCCACTATTGGCAGCGGCGCACGCCGCAAACAGATCAACGCTCGGTAGATCGTCACAGGTACCAGGTCAAGCCTAATATCTTTGGTAGGAATCCTACTACTGGTAGTAAGTTCAATTGAGAACGTTTGAAATAACTTTCAACCTCTTCCGAGGCATTGGGTAGTAGCAAAGACGCCCTGGTTTCATCTGATGCTTCTGCGGTACATCGCAAGGCGAGTAATCGGGGCATCCCAATTGCATTATCGAGTCTCACAATTGAATATTGAATAGCTGATAGCGAAACATAAGATTCAGAGCAAGAACATGGCAATATCTACATAGTTATGACGTCATATTTCTGAACAGACCCTTGAAGAAATATTGTGCATGATTAGGTATATTTACTCCTGTGCGTTCACTTCTGCACCATCAAGCTGGACCTGAGCTAGACCAGCCTCCATCGCCATAGAACGGAAAGATAGAACTCTTGTTCTCCAGCAGCTTCTTTGGAGTATCAAATTCTGCAATCTAAATTGGCCAATCAACAACAAATTAAGGATGAATTCCTTGGAGTATGCTTACCCTCCCAGCATCTAGAACAAGAATCCTATCAGACTCCATGAGTCGTGTTCAAGCGGTGCCTATAGGTTCATTATTGGCAATGATCATCAACGATGTTGGACATGTGACATCGCAATAGTTAGAATGGTCACATCACGGAAGATTGGACCCCGGATAATTTCTTGAATCGCTCGGTCGGTATCTAGGTCAACTGCAGATGTTGCTAGAATCATGCATTAGTCTTGCAGAATAACAAGATGCCGCTCGTACGGACCTTCGTCGAGGACGAGCACTTTAGTCTAGGGAGTGTCGGCGATGAAAACTCACAACCAGCCAAAAGAGACGCTCGTACCTTGCGCAAGAGCGCCCTCGCGAAACACAAGAGCTGTCTCTGACCTGCTGAAAGTGATGATCCGGCCTCCTGAACCGGAGCATCTAGTCCCCCAGGGAGTGAATCGACATATGCCTTCAGATGGGCCTATAGAAGCGTCGTTCGTAAGCATCAGAAGTACAGACATACTTCAAAGACGGACATGTTCCAGAGCAGTCCATATATCAACATCCTGATGCTCGCCAACAGGGTCAATGTTCTCTCGCAATGTCCCTCAAACAAATCTGGGTTTTGAGGAACAATGGATATCGCGGACCGCACTATTGTTGGTTTGATCAATGGGTGTCCAAGTATCCAAACGGACAGCTCAAAGAAGACGCACAGTCATGCAAGCCAAGTTTGGTAATGTCTACTTTGTCAATGAAGATAGCTCCGGATGCAGGCTCGATGATCCGGAAGAGGGCAAGAAGAAGCTGCAAAAGTATCGTCACAGTCCAACAAAAGAAAGGAAATATCTTACCGATGATTTCCCTGCCCCAGTCCGGCCACATATTCCGATGTTCTCTTTCGGTTTCTAGAACATCTCGAGTCAGCGTACATGTAGGAGAAACCTGGCGGAATGACTGACTATGGTCATGGAAATATCCTTGAGGACTAGATCAAGCCCGGGCCGATACCGTGCTGAGTAGTCCCTAAATCAAACAAGTTCAATACAATTTCGTGCATACAGCGACAGACTCACCGGAATTCAACTTCCCCAGCTGTGGGCCACTCAGAGATGGGCTTATTCTCAGGGATCTCGTAAGGAGCTTCTGGCTCAAGGTCTTTGGCGTAGTGGACAATACGCTCGACGCTAACCACATTCTGTTCTACTTCACTTGCGGAGCGGACGAACCAGTTCTGCGACCGTTTAGTTACCAACCTCAGAACAGAGAAAAAGCCACTCACCAGTGAACCTGTTGTGTTCAAAGCATATGACAGAACTAGACCGACCAATCCTGCATCAACGTTGCTGGTCATGACGGCAGAGACAGCCAAAACAGCAGTGACGAAGATGATCACTGCTCCAACGAACTCCAATCTTACTGCAAGCCATCGATTGACGGCAGTACTAGGAAGGTAGCACAACTGGTTGCGATCAATACGACGAGCATTGTTCGCAATGAAAACGGCTTGTTGTTCGTACGCCCGGATAGTCGAAATTCCAGCCAGGGATTCCGAGAACCACGCAAAGATGGGTGAGCGGGACACCGCATCCAGACGCTTGAGTTCCCGTGACGTCGCGAGATAGTACCTATTGATAATATCAGGATGATTCTGGAAGAAGAACAAAGCCATTCATACACGGTGATCTTGTAGTAGAACCATGCCAGAGGAACGACGGCGATCAAGAAGGGCGGGAAGCTGAACCCGATGACCAATAAAATAGAAGCGCAAACCGCGCTTGTGCGTATCAGATTTTGGATCACTCGCGCCAGTATTTGATCGACAACATATGTATCACGAGAAAACAAGTTCAAGATACTGCAACAAGAATTGTTCGAACTCAGAAATCATTCCACAGTTTACTGATCTGCGCACCGTCCCGTTGGCGTTGTCTCAAAAAAGCTGAGGGGCGCACGCATGACCGAATGCAGCATCTGAAAAATAGATGAAAAATTTCATCCATACTTGGAACGCAGCACTAACCGAATCATGAAGGTGCTTTGAGCTCCGAAGCGAGCAGAAAACCCAAATCAGAAGCGCAGCACATGCGCCTAAGCAAATGGCCATCAAATTGGACAGACCATATCCCAGGAAATACTTGTCGGTCAATCCCGCGTTGGCACCCATCTCGCGGTTATGCTCGCCCCAAAGCCTGAGCATTACGGTGACATGACAGATACCATCTGCTGCAGAACCGTAGCGAGTACAAAGATCAGGAACCCTTTTTTCGACGCTGCTTGGAGGTACTGCGAGTACACTTCCATCTTGACGCGGCCCTGCTCACTGTGCTCTTTCGTGATGCCATCGGAAGACGCGTCGCGCAGCTTGGGCGGCATAGCGAGGACAGCTTTTGTGAAACTTTCTCTACGCGATACCTTCTCTGATACAGATTCAAGTTCTCCAACAAGGGTGGCTTGCATGTCCCCCTCGCTTGTAGTGGGAGTGGACATGCCGCTGGACCGTCCAGGTGTGGTCGTTCCAGAGTTGGAACCGCTCGTAGCATGACCGTGACTGTCATAACTCAATTAGATTGCATCGAACATCATGAATCAAAATACACTCACACAAGCTTGCGCACTTCACTATCCGGATTCGACATCAACTCATCGTACGAGCCACTGTCCAAGATAATACCGCGGCGCAGGTAAACAAGTTGATCGAAATACTTGAGGTACGAGATGCTGTTAGTGACAAGAACGCGCGCTTTGGTTGCGAGTAAGCCTTGAGGACCGATAACATGATCTGTTACATAATATCATTAGAAGGAAGTCAGTC